AATAAAAAAGTAAGAATCAAGTTTGAGATAATACTGAACTTATGGATAATATATCACCGGTTTACTTTCTAAAAAAATGATAAACAAATTGAAGCTGGTTTTAATGGCAGATGCAAAAGGCTTTTAGCCGCTAACGGACTTTTCCATTATCTAATTCCAGTCACGATTCATTGCAATAAACAAAACAAGAAGAAATCCGCACAGAAAGTGCCACATTTGAAAACGTCGCGCCTAATCAATAAAATCTTCCCCCAAAGAATCACCTCTAACAATGGGAACACCCCATATAGTCATATCAGTGCGCCATTATATCTATTACTTTGCGCTTCAAAATTTAATGAATTTAACTCACAAAGAATTAATAAAGTAGTCGCGAATTTTCAAGTGAGAGTTTAAAGTGCTGTCAGGCAAACTGTAAGAAAATTTCCGTTTCGCGGGGCGGAACTTTTGTTCAAATCTTAACTTAGAGGAGGACTGAATCAAGGGCTGTAATGATCCATTATTTTGGAAAACCATGAGTTCACTTAAGAGCGTGTGTGATTATAAGTTGAGCATCGCCGTGTTTTGAGAAGCTGTTGTTGAATCACAATGACGTATTCAATATCTGAAAAGTAAACAACGGGCAATATCAACGAGATTCAACTTTGCATAAAACATATCAAAGGAAGTAAACTTGACGATAAATGAAATTAAAGGTACCGGAATTCAAAATAACGCAAGCTAAGATGTACTTCTATTGAATAATCGAATTTTCTTTAAGGGGAACATTTGTGAAAACAAGGATGCGATAGTGAAAAGCTTTTTGTGTGTTATTGACAAAGTAATAAGCTGCGTCTCGGTCACCCACTCCATGATATGGATTAATAAGTATGTTATCAACTGGCCTATATTAACCATTCCTCGCCGGGAATCTTTTCAAAAACATTAAAAACAAAACTAGGAAATAGAAGTGACATCCGAGTGAAACAGAGGGTGCTTGATTGAAAAGTAACAATACGTATAATAGTATATAATAAGAGACCAACGTAGAAGAGTCTAACAGCGAACTGAAGGCTAACCGCTTATAAGCCAGAGTCCTCTCTCTCACAATAAACAAAACCCTGACTGACAAGTCACGGATTATTCAGCAATGGACAAATTCGATCCGAATGAAAGCACGGCCGAGCCACTCAGGTATTTCTGAAAGTTCTCATTTTTACTTTTGATGTTTTTGAAGAAGAAAACGATTAGAATTAATTATTTACTGACTCCTCTTTATAATGATTTAAGGCGATGCCAACAATTTCAACGGGACCTTACCGATAGAAATCTGTTTATAAAAGCTATCTACCATTAACAAACTGTACTCTCTTGCAACTTTCTGCTATTGAAAAGCAACATTTTCTTTATGTACTTGTAATCTTTACACCTCGGACTTATTTAGTAGGTACGAGGCAACCCACGAACTTTAAGTTTATCTGTTTATTTCATTAGACAGCGTTAAAAACTGCTCAACGATCAATATTTGATAATTGAGATAGAAGTGATGTTTGTGATGTCAGAAGCGCATACACGCGTGGTGAGAGATAAGCTTCCCGGTTCAAGTTTTTCCTTTGGACCTGCCGAAGAAGCTCAGTCAAGGGTAGATTGAGTCATTGTGTCCACGTACAAAATTACCTTTAAACTGAAAGAAACCTGAAACCAGTAGTTTACTAAGCAAAAAACACCATGGAGGTAATAATAAACATAAAAGAACAAGGATGGTTAAGAATTGAGATTAGGGCGGACTTGGCTAAACTCTTCAAGAGCAAACTGTGGCATAGCTCCTTTAACCCTTCCAGATAAGTTGGGAAAGTGGAATGTGACGTTATTTATGAAGAAATATCGCTACTTATCGCAAGCTGCAAGGTGTGGCTCTTTGCGTTCCGAAATCCACCAACTGCGAAAAACAGACTGAGGGCTTCTTTAATTCTGTTCTTTTACTGAACTGTAAAATTACAGTAAAATTATACAGATTCCAGTTGAATCATGAAAACGTTTAAGATTTTTTTGCTTCGATATCCATGCCAATTTCTGCAGGCCCAGAACTTTACGCAAAACTGGTTATAATTTGAGGCTGGTATGCATTTGAAGCGGGTTTGTCTTAGCATATTCGCTACATGTTAGCAATGAAATCAGTGATGACAAGAAAATAATTTTCAGTTTTCACTTGCCAATTTGGCAAATCCTATGGCTTCACAACGAACGACTTCTTAGACGTTCAACTTTGAGTGGAGTTTTATTTTCGCGTGAAATCTGCGGAGTGAGTGGTAAGCATTTTGGGACATAAACGTATTTATGTCTGACCTCCGCAGACGGGCGAATAATCCAGTATTTAAACCGATTAGTTATTCCCTCTTCATTCCATTCACTTCTTTCAGCGTAAGTTCCGAAAATTCATTAGCTCATCGTTGATAGTGTCCCTTATAATCACTTTAACAACAGCTTGTTGATACTTTTTCGTGTTTTCACTGCATGCTGTGTCCTATACATTTTATGGCATATTGCAAGTTTTTTTCAAATTTTGATCACTTTTGATCATTGATTAAGGTTACTCATCAACGAGTGCTTTGATATGGTAGGTTACAGTTACAATTTGACCTTCATACTACTACTTTTATTCACAACTCTTCAATTTCTCTGCTTGCACCCAATCGAACCCTAGATTGCTTCAGAACAAGTCGTCTAATGACTTTGCTTTTCGTCAAACGATTTCATCTGTCCTTTATTCATGCCTTACAGGCACGCAGAACTTAGTTTTACGTATATATGCCGCCTCATTCAATTAATCCCCCACCCTATTTCGGCCTTTGATATTCAAACAGTAACACAATCGTGATAAATTTTAATCGGGTTACAATTTGAACAAAGACGGAACTTCAGAAACACTGAAATCCCTTGTTTACCATGGAAATACAGGTTTACAAGTTTACTGCATAATATTCAGCTAGATTACAAGACTAACATCACACTTTACTCGCAAAAGATTGAACATAATAATAAAAGTACTCATCTAAGGCAAGGTGAAGTGAAGAATAAATGGCATGACTCAGAACGAATTACCTCACAAGGAGGGCAGGCACACATATAAACCATCTGCCTATGACAATAAGCAAAACATGTGTACCCAAACAATTAAACTCTTTTTCGAAAACAGCTTAATTAAAGGTACACTAGTATTAGTTTACAACAAATATCCACTCTGCAAAGAAACCTTTCTTGTTAAGTGTATTTGTTTACATTGAAAGAAAAGGGTAATTAATGTTTTGGCTCTTTTCCATTCAGTTTCTTTCGTTTAGTCGTCCAATCAATACCTTTAGACTCCAAACTGGACGTGGAAACAAATCAGAAATACTGGCAACCTCACTTGTCGTTCTCGATTCTCGAGTCAATAACATGCGTATTATGGTATTCACCGGGTGACCGGTGCATTAACTGTCTAGTATTCTTTTCTTATTTCACACGAATTTGTTTACTTTATCCGACCTCCAGCTGGCGGTGTTTGAGCTCGTTGTAAATTCATAAAGCCATGACAATACTTGAGCTTTGAATTGCGAAAGGTTTTGTTCTGTTGATGACTTAAACAAATACCTGAGAAGATATTTGCATTTTCCTTTCATTTCTCCATTTATCCCGTTTGTCTTAATGTTGTCCTAACTCGCTTACAGTGTTAAGAGAAGCTAAAAGCGCCGCCTTCTGTTTATTTCTTACGACAAGTCTCTGCTCGTAGCTGATTACGCTTGCTTCAGACTAAGGCACCGTTTCAGCTCCAGCGCTTTTCTTGTTAATGATTTAATTTCCTGTACTTGTCTTCGAATAATAACTTCTTTGCAAACGCTTCCTTTGTGGCAAACAATGCAAATCACTGAGCCGGTTTCTAGTCACATGGAAGACTAAAAACGTAAAAAATGTTGACAAAGAAAATTCTCAAAACCTCATACATCAGAACATTTCGTCCTTTTCGCAGTAATTATTTACAATACGAGCAATTTCCTCAATGGACAATAAAACCAATACAGCGGTTTTTTTCACCTTCGTGCCAACCACGCTTCCAGATTTCCGAAGAGCTTAAAGTTGCCCTCTAGGAAACCACAATGGCGGTATTTATACAAGACATTCATAATATTTGAATTGTATAGTACTTCATTGTTTAAAGGCTATTGAACTCTTGTGCGGTTTAAATCACAGGCACCGACACAGCCAAGCTCATTAACGTCAAATATCCAAAACTAACACGCTTGTTGTAGCGAGTGTGACACAAGGAAAGGAGTTTTGTAGATATTATCTCCCTCTGAGGTTTGCAGATTGTTCCTAATTGCCCCGGTTATTAGCATTGTTGTTAACTCGGTAAAACATTTACCGCCTTATCGCCAGAGAAAGCGTTCGGCAAATGACAAACCTTAACGATTATTTCAAAGAATATTTCACTGATAAGACAGGGGTACGGACTAATTATGTAAAAAACGCACTGTGTAAACAGCGGCGTCTCGCTTTCAACGAAATAAACGACGGAGGGCATTTTCAAACTTCTAGCTTCGAAGAACGTGTCCTTTTCCTTAAATGGGCATTTTTTTGGCGACATTTTGCACTAAGCTGTTCCCCGAACGAACTGATTGGATTTGTCTTTGATTAATTTCCAAAACATACTCGTTAACAAAACAAATTTGGGTAAAGATACTTTAGATGTAGATATGTTCTACGTTGATTGAATTGCAATTATTAAGTGAGCTGTTTAGGCCATCAATTTTCTTTAAGAGGACATGTAAGAGAGCAGTTTAGCTTTTGGTAACAGCAGGCTATTTATAACACGGCTCACGTGAAAAATATTCATGGACCTATCCGGTCACTCTGTCTGTAATGATAAACAAGAGAAAAATATTTGGATGTTCGTCTACACAATAGTTTACCTTTAGGGAAAACTGGACGTTTTTTTGGAAATTCATTGTTTTAGTCGCCGAATTAATCACGGAAAGATTTCAAAGATGGGCAGACTATTAGTTCAGAAACAATACACGAACAGGGATTTTCCAGTCGTCATTTTGTTGGCACGGAAATCTAAATGTTTCTTTAGCAAGCCATTTTGTCGGCAAGATCACAGCAGTCTTGCTCCATGCGTCAGTCAAAGAACTGGAACCAATGAGTGGGTCGCCTTTCTCAAAATGTGTGCCTTTGTTCGCCCGACCCCTCCTTAAGTTAAGCGCTAAGGTGTTTTCCGATCCCATTCAGGGGTTTTCGGTTCCGTTTAGCACCAAATTCATTGCCCCCTAAGCGAGGTTTCATGTTTCACCAGAGCAATTATTCTGAAGTGGGTTTTCTGCCCTAAGTGAGCATTAGGTGCTAATCGCTATCACAACTCATCGCCACTTGAGGTTGTCAAATCATTCAATTAATTTGGATGACAATTATGCGTGCACGCAGCAATCAAAACAAGCTCGGCGACCGACGGTGACTTCTATTGTACCGCGGCACATCACTTTAGTATAGACACCGAATTTAATCCACCCCCAATAGCGTTACCAAAGGTTTCGTAACTCGGTGCGCGCTTACCAGCGAACGGCCCAAAACAAGTCTCCGCTGTGCATTTGTAAAGCGCAGCGCGTTCATAGCTTAGCAGGATGCAAGGCAGTGATCGGTTTTCTATAAATTCTCTCATCGATACCAGGAGTAGAGGCAGCTTGAGCAGTGACGCAGAGGACGCACAAGACATTTCTGGCCCTGAAGACGACTCTGCTCAGGAAACAAGACACTTGGTGACATCATTTACTGTCAAAGACATTTTGGACCCTCACAAGTTTAACGCTCCGAAAAGGCGGCCAAGCGAAAGCGATTCAGAGACTGAAAGCCCAAGTAACGAGGAACCTAGAAATAATTCACCATGGCATCCTTGGATGGCAACTACCAGATTTAACCGTACGCAAAAATCGAGCGGTGAGTACTTAGTTCATTGTGATAAATCAGTTGAATGTAGTGGAGAAACGTTTTCCCTTCGTTCTGTCGCGTTTGATTTACCTTAACTTAAATCACTGGTCTATGAAGAACAGATTGAATTTCTATCTTCACAGTACTTTTGATGCAAAGGTCTTACTGTGTAACACGCCTGAAAGCGATTAAAGTAGAAACCAAATCACACCCGGCATCGTTTCATTTATTCTCACTTGTGATCACTGAGCTCACATTAACAGCCATTTAGCTTAAAAGCTTTACCACTGCAGCAATTAATTCTCTATAAAATGTATTTCAGAACTATTCCTAGATTTACTGATGTTCGTCCCGTTTAAATAATTTACTGTTGATAATCTGTCTTCTCGTACAACGACGCCGACAGTAGAGTCTGCAAGAATATCTCCTCAAACGAGATCAGTTAACCACTTCATTAAAATGTCTGTTATCTAAAACGCAGACGATTACTCGTCGATCATTATGTATGAACTCTTAAATTCCCTTCGTACAGAATCTGAAAAATGCACGGAAAAGGACAAGATTGATCACGAATCGTCCAACCATCAAGAGAATGAGGAATGTAAGTTGACGACGGCACCCAAATCAAAGCGAAAGCGAAGCGGCTCAGAACGATCAAAGGAAGGAAAACCACGGCGCGCACGGACTGCTTTCACGTACGAACAACTCGTTGCTCTAGAAAATAAGTTTAAGAGCACAAGATATCTATCTGTATGCGAAAGACTTAACTTGGCTCTCTCGCTGAGTCTGACAGAGACACAAGTGAAAATTTGGTTTCAGAACAGGCGGACAAAATGGAAGAAACAAAACCCAGGCGTTGATGTTACCGCGCCGCCGCGGCCGACGACTTTGCCGCACGCTCCTTCTCTGGCCGGTTACGGAACAGGGATTCTGTGTACGTCGCAATGTCCAACGCAAATACACCACTATCCACATTATCCTCCACCCACATCAGCTCATGCTTTGCAGTGCATCATCAGACCGCATCCAACGTACGGACATTTGTAGATACGGCGGTAAATGAAGAAGCATGTCGAAGAAGCCTTGTTGCAACATAGGCAGAGGAAAACTCCATAGGAACTTTGTATAGAAAGAGACGAAGATGTATTTATGTTTGAAATCAGTATGATGCCTGATTTTCCATACAAGTATGCTTGAGGCACGCTTTTGTTGGGAGTGGAAGAAATTGATTTATGCTGTGTCCTTAATGTAAACTCACAACTGACTATACCAGCCCAAGTTCTGATCAGTTTATATATATCTGCGAGGTATTTTTTTATCAAAGGCTATCAGGGTTTTGTTATAATTTAACCATAGTATCTAAAATCCCTGCAACGAAAGTTATGCACTTCGTGTATTTTGTTTCGTGGAAACAAGCCTTGGTACTCCTGTTGGAGTTTCACGCCTGACTAACATTTTTTCTGATTTAACTCGTGCCAATTGTTTGAATCGAAACACTAAAAAGATGTAGCTACTGAAATATTGTTATTTGCCAAAATTCTGAACTGTAAATACTGTATTAAACAAAATGTTATATAATCGGTCTCGCGAAACATAAACTATATGAAATTTCAATAAATTTTTCCCACAAATGTTGTGCCTTGAAGTTACAGCAAGAGATGAAGACTGTCCTTAACCTCAAGAATAATTTTTCATTTATTGCTTTCGGGGACAAAAAAAAAAAATCTTTTGGATTCAGTCCTAAATTGTATTTAGGTCGTTTCTTACCATCTGACGAAAAACGGTAGAAAAGCTTCCATAAACAGCTGACTCGAAATTTTGACTTATTTCGTTACCACTTCATCGGCAGCCATTACATGGAGGCAACAAAACAAATCTTCTTCGTACGGTGACTAAACTCGGTCAAAGTAGTCGCTAAATAAAAATATAGAGTATATTTACTTCAGAATTATCCTTGGCCCAAACAATCTGCTAAGTTGTTCTGTGAAAATTTGTTTTGCTAATTGGCAAGAAATATTTCTTTGAATGCTACAATGAACCGCCTTCTTTGTTGATCCATTACGGCCCAATTTAACCACACTGATGGCAAATCATCAACCACACCATGACATTTCTTGTTTTCTTCGCACATAAAGATTGCTAATTCTCAACAAATATTGAATTTGCAACCACTTCCTGTAGTCGGCTTTGTTTGAGAAAGATTTCGAGCGGAAAAGCCCACATTATGTACAGCATAGTCTTTTAAAGACACCTGGTCGCTAGTTACACAAAATATCAATCATTTTCTAAGCAGGACCTTGGCGTTCAATCATTCGTTCATTTAGATATTTTCAAAATACGTTCGAGAGAGCCTTCAAACAATTTTTTGCTGTTAAACTGCTCTGCACATTATGAAGGATTTTTCTAATTCAATTACTCGACCCCCAAAGATACGACACAAGATCCTTTTCAAGTTTTTGAACTCCTTATTGAATATGCTTTGATTTAAGTCACTGAAACTGGCTCATTGTCCTTAATTTTTGTGTTTCAATTTCGAAATCATTGATAAAAGTAACCACTACTGATATAAAGACGTTTCAACTACAGACCAGGGTGGGTTAAAATAATAAAAATTGTTTTTCCGTTGTCGTTCCAACGTGATGCAAAAACGATCAATCACTTTCTTTAAAGTAATAAGGTTAGTCCACTCATGTTTTTGATGTAATTCAACAATTGAGATGTCGTTCGAACATTTCTTTGTAAATAAGAAGTTTCTCGATTTTGCCGAGCCGGCAGTCCTGACTTAATATGTCGATATGTCAAAAGCACATGGATAGAAGCAGGTTCTTTGTGTTTAGTAAGAATCTCAGGGTCCATTGTCAGTTCATGAATGGACTAGAAATTTTTAGTTGTTCTTTGAACAACTCATGTTACAACACACTGCATTTTGAATATTTGGTGTTATGTTGATAGTTTGCGCCCTGTATCATTTTACTTTTTTTATAAACCCGTGAGCGTTATTTTGTTCTGGTTAACCCCGAAATGTTTTCGAACAACTATGCCACGCAACGAACATCTAATACCGTCCAGTATTCAAAGGGTCAAAGAAGTTGCTCCGCTAAATTTGTCTCGATAAAATCAGTTTCTGAAGACAATTTTAATAACATGGTTCGCTAGTAAACAGTAAACGCCGCTTTCAAAAGATAAGTTGAACAAAACTATAGCCGAGATGTTATCTTCCGAGCCTGAAGCAATCCCACTTATTTTGCGGTCAAGACTTTAGTTAGCTTGGCGCCATCGAGGGGACGGGACGTTGCACATTTTCACTGAAAAAAGCTCCATTCCTTTTGCTTCTGTTGTTCAGGAAACGTTACCGACAACAGCCATGTACTTGTGGTACATTATTTTAAACCTTTGACAACAACGTAGAATGTGCAGGGCTGGACACTTTCACCAATCCTTCGAATTTCGGTCAACATGGAATGGCAAGCAAAAAGTCATTATACATCAGAGACACACCGCAGTAAGTATAAGCATGAATCAAGAAAGGATGGAGTTGAGATCTTCTACAAATCAAATCAAATCAAGGCAGTTTATATGTCCCGCTCTAGCGAGAAACAAACCCTATTTTCCGACTGAAATATGAACTGGTTCTCCGGGGTTACTTTCGTTGTGTTTTTCTATTCGAGTTTCTGGCTTCGAAGAGAATAAACATTACGAATTTGTCAGCAGTTACAGTTATTAGAAAAGTAAGATGTACCCTTTGCCGGATGTGAGCGAATGCATGTTTGGAAGTCAAACCTCTAAAGACTAGGTAACTTTAATTATGCGATGCATGATAACTTGTCGGCGCAAATAAGCTTCGAGCACATTTTCTTTTTTGTAGAATATCAATTCTCAAAATCTAATTGCAATAAATAAATGAAAAAAACCGGAGACATTTAATGCCAATAAAATAATTTGTTCGACATCGATTACAATGGTAAGTTATTTGTTCACAGTAAGAACTGCAATCGTGAGAGATAACAGTGCAAAAATATCAATGCGTCTTTGTTCCGGACAAAGGCTGATGTCCCCCCCCCCTTCTCTGGCCCTAATGTTGCTGGAATACATTGGAAGCAGTAAGAAAAAAACCTTAGGCATTAGAATGTTTCGGCGAGGCAATGAAAAATCGAACTCATAGGCAGTAAACAGTAGACAAGAGAACAAATAATAACACTGATGATGGTTTGGAGGTACATTTTGATTTATTTTTCACCTTTTCCTCCATTTAGTAAATTACACCACTGCTGCCCTGATTAGCAATGAAACTTCACAACTGCTGCGGCTGTATAACACTGCTACTGACATCAGCTTAAAGGTTAAGTAAGCAGAAGAGGCAATGAAAAAAATATATAATGAATTTCTCATTTGGTATCTGATCCACTGTGAAATTCCTCAGTAAAAATGCCATACTCCCTTTTTTTTTTAAAAAGAATAAACATGGAAGCATTCACCAAATACACGAACGTAAACTTACTCTTCAGATTAAGAAGACAAAGAAGGGGTGGTAAAAGCAGCCAAGACAATGCTGTAAGCCTCTCGGTACGAGTTTCAGCACCTCAGTTGATTTCACAGCTAAAAACAGCCGTAAGAGTTGGAAAGCAATTTAGTGTATTAAAAAGGTATTGAATTGCATTCAAGCAAATAAATTCAGGCATTCGAAATTTGTAGCACCAAGAGTGATCGAGCAATACATATGATATAATTTCTTCTTCTAAAACAATGTGAAATGGGTTTATAAAAGCGGCGAGGAATATCGAGGTTGTCTCTCCAAACGAAACTTTTAGAAAAGATTCCTCCCATCCAGACAGCTATTATTACAAACGTATGGAAACTAGCAAGTTTAACTGAGGATAATTTCTTCGCTTACATTGATACCAAACTGAAGCACATTGCCTAGTCAGATTACGTTATTAAAATCGCTGCTTAACTTTACAGCTTGCCGAGAGTGGACAAAATGTGAGATACATATAAGATATAAATATCTTTTACCCTTTGTCTTCTCGTGACAACGTAATCTATCGTTGACCAAGTACTTAGGTATAAACAAAGTTCCAGGAGGATAAATATTTAATTAAAAAAGAGGTGTATTTCCTGATGCTATCGTGCGTTTTTCTAAACACAACCGATTTGTCTCATGTTCTGATACATCGTCTGTACAGACTCGCTACAAACGACAATTCTAGGATACATGAAATAAGTGAAAGAAAAAGTTACTTAATACTTTGCTTACGATTACAGGTACTTGAGAAAATGACTCGACGAATTCTAGTTAAAGATGGAAGCGGCAAATCACAAATACGAATCATTTTAGATTAATGCGCTAGTGTACAAAACTGGCCACAATCCCCTATTGAATTGTCGTCGATACTCACTACACTGTGCCAAGTTAGCTGAATATTCGTCGTTTTTCTTTCTTCGACTTTTCTTTCTTCGTCGTGTTAGCGGTTTGCCGGCAGTCTTCCAGGCAGGATCTAGTAACTCATGGCTCGGTAATACCCGACAAAGGTCTACATGTCCGTCTAATTGAGAATGCATGTGACTACAACGCAAACTATTAAGCTTTCAACATCTGTGTCAATCACAGATTGGTTCGTCAGCTGAACGTAATACTACGACTGTTACACAATGGGAAGAAAATGAAAGCGTTTGTTGCAGCTTTTTTAAAACATTTGAACATTCTTAATTGAGTTTACTGACTTAATAGCTGAGAGCCAACATATTATATAATATTTGCACTTAACGGTAACTTTTCCACTTCTTAATCTCATTAGCAAACAGAATTCGAAAATTCCTTCTAAACAGTAATAAATTTACCACTTCAAATAGTCTGAAAACTTCGAAGTCTTTTATTTCTACATGCTGAAAGAAAACGTGTAGCGTCGGGTAAACTGCCATTGACAAACTCATTACTTTGTCGGCAAACATTAAAGGAAAAATTGGCCTTTATTCACGGTTCTCAAGCGATTTGTTTATTCATCAAGTCTACTATCATTGCGCCTCACGTAAAGCAGGAATTAGCCGTGGCAAACAATTTAATTAAATAAGTCTTTGTGGGCATAAGTAAATACGGTTAATGAGAAAACACACAAAAGCTTAAAATAATTCAGGGACTTAACTTGTTGACCATTATCAGCACACGTCGTTCAGTTTGATTGTTTCCGATCAAGTCTCGATACGGCTTTGTATTTACCCGGCTGGGGGCCTCAGGAACGCAGTTTGTGATATTTTTGCCCATATTTAAAGCTATTATGCCGGAGGTCAATTGAGACATAATCAAATTCCTAAACCACACAAACTTTCTACACGCTACATCTTGGCTTCTTATGTACCGGTTTGTAAATAAATTACAAAGGTATGCTACAAAACTGGTTGAAAACTGCTTATTCACAAGCCATTTTACTGTGAAAAGCCATTGCCACAAAAAAAATAATCGCAAACGCTTTGTGCTTCGTTAAATTCTGTCACCTCCTCATTGTAACACAAAAAAATCAGCTGCATTCTGAAAAAGCTTGTTGTATTGGGGAGGAAACACGTGTTTCTAAAACATGGGCTTCGTATCTTTAGTGATTGAACATTTTTTTTTTCCCACAAACTATGCAAGTTTATAACCAGAGACTATATGTATGCTGCTTATAATCAGGTTTTCCACATTCCAATTATTATATTTCCAAACCACGATTTAGAATAATCACCCTTTAAGGAAACAAAATCAAACCACCACCTCTCCCTCAAGTATTGTTTTCCCGTTGTTTCACTGACACAGCGAGTCAAGTTTATACGTAAACCTGGGTGTGATAATTTGGACACCTGGCACTACAGGCATGTGCTAATTATTGGGGTCTGTCAGAAAATTGTGAGAATTATTTGACGAAATGAGCAACAACATCCATGGCTATTTTGTTAACAAGTAACATTTCAAAACGTCCACAATCTAATGTGAAAGTTTGCGATAAAATTTTGCATTGTTGGCCTTTAATCCCGGCGGAACAGGACATGCTAACGCCCGCTGTCCTCATAGGTCGCTTGTGCAAAATACTCTTTTCTCTCTGTAGCTCAAAGTTTTGAAAACAAATTTCTGTGAACACTCCATCGTTAAGGCAAACCTAAACAGAACCCGGTAATGTATTGGCCGGTGAAGCAGTTAAGAACACTGTTAGCCTTTATGAATGGCTGTTTGCCTAAACGTTGTATTGAATTCATGCCGGAGGTAATTATGACGACAACGATTTGTATTTGTACTCAGCGGTACATTGCTCGTGCCCAATAAAATACGGAACTGGAAAAGCATGAAATACGAAATACACACAGGCTTAACGGAAAGTAAACACAGCAAAAGTAATCATAACATGGAACGGATTAAGCACCAATGATTGGTGAGCTCTACACACATAACTCTAAGGCCAAATTATTGCAAAGCGGCTTTTCAATTAAGTGTCTTATCCCTTGAGGGCTAAGTGGCTAACCTAATG